CCCCCCTCCCCCTTGTGTTGGTGTACAAGGTAAGCCAGGTACTGGATGACAGCCCCCCCCCTTGTGTTGGTGCACAAGGTAAGCCAGGTACTGGATGACAGCTCCCCCCTTGTGTTGGTGCACAAGGTAAGCCAGGTACTGGATGACAGCCCCCCCCCTTGTGTTGGTGCACAAGGTAAGCCAGGTGCTGGATGACAGCCCCCCCTCCCCCCTTGTGTTGGTGTACAAGGTAAGCCAGGTGCTGGATGACAGCCCCTCCCCTCCCCCTTGTGTTGGTGTACAAGGTAAGCCAGGTACTGGATGACAGCCCCCCTCCCCTCCCCCTTGTGTTGGTGTACAAGGTAAGCCAGGTGCTGGATGACAGCCCCCCCCTCCCCCTTGTGTTGGTGTACAAGGTAAGCCAGGTACTGGAGGCTTCCCCAGTGAACTGAGGTGTGGCCAGAATGTTATGTTGTATACTGTACTGTACTTCTATCAACTTGTGCGTAGCAGACGGAGGGAAGCTGCGGTTATTAGTGGGTGGGTGAAGGGGGGGGGGTCTCCAGATGTTGTATTCACCTTATTATATATGTGGCGGTTAAGCTTCGGCTCTTGGGTCCTGCCTCAAATGGTGCTCAGGTTCCTCAGCCAATTGGACTCATTATCATATCAATATCTGAAATTGTGCATGGAATCAGCCTCCACCACATCGCTTCCTGGTGCATTCCATTGGTTAAGTCACCGAAAAAATCGTTCCAATGTACTCGCCTAGTAGCATTGTGTCTGTGGGGGGTTGGGGGGGGGGGGGGGGAGTGATGTAAAACCCTCATTTGTGATTGCAGGATCGAACATCTCCACGCAGTGTCTCCACACTATGTGAGAGTGGTGGGGTCCCTGAGGCTGTCTCACCCGCGCGCGCCACTCCACATGCTCTCTTTACCAGCTAAATTCCATTTATAAGGTGTCCTTCAGGCTTGCCTCCTGTGTGTTGGGGAGAGTTACTGTGGCTGGAGCAGCGTGACGCAAGACGTGGGGAGGTGGTAACGTGTGAGGGGCAGGGGCAGGGGGGGGGGGAGGGAGGTAACGTGTGGGGCAGGGGGGGGGGGGAGGGAGGTAACGTGTGTGGGGCAGGGGGGGGGAGGGAGGTAACGTGTGTGGGGCAGGGGGGAGGGAGGGAGGTAACTTGTGTGGGGCAGGGGGGGAGGGAGGGTGGTAACGTGTGTGGGGCAGGGGGGGAGGGAGGGTGGTAACGTGTGTGGGGCAGGGGGGGGAGGGTGGTAACGTGTGTGGGGCAGGGGGGGGAGGGTGGTAACGTGTGTGGGGCAGGGGGGAGGGTGGTAACGTGTGTGGGGCAGGGGGGGGAGGGTGGTAACGTGTGTGGGGCAGGGGGGGGGAGGGTGGTAACGTGTGTGGGGCAGGGGGGGGGAGGGTGGTAACGTGTGTGGGGCAGGGGGGGGGAGGGTGGTAACGTGTGAGGGGCAGGGGGGGGGGGAGGGTGGTAACGTGAGGGGCAGGGAGGTAACGTGTGAGGGGCAGGGGGGGGAGGGTGGTAACGTGTGTGGGGCAGGGGGGGGGGGAGGGAGGTAACGTGTGTGGGGCAGGGGGGGAGGGAGGTAACGTGTGTGGGGCAGGGGGGAGGGTGGTAACGTGTGTGGGGCAGGGGGGAGGGTGGTAACGTGTGTGGGGCAGGGGGGGGGAGTGTGGTAACGTGTGGGGGGCAGGGGGGGGAGGGTGGTAACGTGTGGGGGGCAGGGGGGGGGAGGGTGGTAACGTGTGGGGGGCAGGGGGGGGGGAGGGTGGTAACGTGTGGGGGGGAGGGTGGTAACGTGTGTGGGGCAGGGGGGGGGAGGGTGGTAACGTGTGTGGGGCAGGGGGGGGAGGGTGGTAACGTGTGTGGGGCAGGGGGGGGGGAGGGTGGTAACGTGTGTGGGGCAGGGGGGGGAGGGTGGTAACGTGTGTGGGGCAGGGGGGGGAGGGTGGTAACGTGTGTGGGGCAGGGGGGGGTGGTAACGTGTGTGGGGCAGGGGGGGGGTGGTAACGTGAGGGGCAGGGAGGTAACGTGTGAGGGGCAGGGGGGGGAGGGTGGTAACGTGAGGGGCAGGGAGGTAACGTGTGAGGGGCAGGGGGGGGGAGGGTGGTAACGTGAGGGGCAGGGAGGTAACGTGTGAGGGGCAGGGGGGGAGGGTGGTAACGTGTGTGGGGCAGGGGGGGTGGTAACGTGTGTGGGGCAGGGGGGGGGGGTGGTAACGTGTGTGGGGCAGGGGGGGGTGGTAACGTGTGTGGGGCAGGGGGGAGGGTGGTAACGTGAGGGGCAGGGTGGTAACGTGTGTGGGGCAGGGGGGGGGGAGGGAGGTAACGTGTGTGGGGCAGGGGGGGGGAGGGTGGTGTCACGACCCTTGAGACTAAATAATGTTCTTCTCCCCACAGTGTAAAGAACAAACAAGAATCTGCCATGCCAATAGGTGTCTAGGGGTATAATTAATCACTGTAATAAAACGGGAGAACAATATATTTTGCTAAGGGTGACAACTTAACAACCATTAAATAAATAGTATCCAGAAATATTTATCAGCATGTAATGCTATAGAATGCAAGTAATTATTTGAGACCCGAGCACTATCACCAGAATATGGAGTAAGCCATAAATACACTAAAATCGTCTATCCAGATAAATTAATATTTATATGGGCTTAAAATAAGCAAAAACCAAGAACTTAGCTTAAACACAACTGCACTCGACCGCAGCCGCCACTCTACTGCCCAGGACGTGGTCCGCAGGCCCAACGTCGACTAACCGTCTACCCAAACACCAATTAACGTTCGCATGAACATTATGAACATTCTATTTACAAAGGTCAGCCCTAAACTCCAACATTATTAACTAAGAGTTGTAATTACCGGTCTCACATTCCTTGAAATATTACGGCTACCAAATATGGGAATAAATAAATATAAAACTATAGGCAACTGATTTGCCAACAATCGCCCTGGCCATTCCCAAATATTGTCAACCGCCCACACGGCTAATTTCACGTGACATCCACCACCAAAACAAACCTTACACACACTACCCAGCTATCTATGTTATATATATATATAATGTATATATATCTATATACACAAATCTTATACAACTGACAGCAATATTTACGTAGAGAAAACAATAACATAAAACGAGGTTCGGGAGAATTGGCAGAATCATAATAAGATTCGTGACAGGTGGTAACGTGTGTGGGGCAGGGGGGGAGGGAGGGTGGTAACGTGTGTGGGGCAGGGGGGAGGGAGGTAACGTGTGTGGGGCAGGGGAAGGGAGGTAACGTGTGTGGGGCAGGGGGAGGGAGGTAACGTGTGTGGGGCAGGGGGGGGGGAAGGGAGGTAACGTGTGTGGGGCAGGGGGAGGGTGGTAACGTGTGTGGGGCAGGGGGGGGGGAGGGAGGTAACGTGTGTGGGGCAGGGGGAGGGTGGTAACGTGTGTGGGGCAGGGGGGGAGGGAGATAACGTGTGTGGGGCAGGGGGGGAGGGTGGTAACGTGTGTGGGGCAGGGGGGGAGGGAGATAACGTGTGTGGGGCAGGGGGGGGAGGGTGGTAACGTGTGTGGGGCAGGGGGGGGGAGGGAGATAACGTGTGTGGGGCAGGGGGGAGGGTGGTAACGTGTGTGGGGCAGGGGGGGAGGGAGATAACGTGTGTGGGGCAGGGGGGGAGGGAGATAACGTGTGTGGGGCAGGGGGGGAGGGTGGTAACGTGTGTGGGGCAGGGGGGGAGGGTGGTAACGTGTGTGGGGCAGGGGGGGGGAGGGTGGTAACGTGTGTGGGACAGGGGGGGGACGGAGGTAACGTGTGTTTAGACGTTAATATATGATGGTTCAAATATTAAATTACTGTTGCATAGTTGACAACGCTCGCCCCAAAAGATGCCCTCATCAAAAGAAAGGACTAACTGGCTCAGAATGGTCACTAAACATTACTTTTTAAGAACAACTATTTTGTGTGGTGAAGACAACCTAGTCATTACACCAGCCTGTTACTCGTCCACCTGCCTACCTCCCCCCCCCCACTCCTCCAGTCCACATTCCACAACGTACCACACCCTTCATTCAGCCTGTCTCAAGACTTGACCACACACACCACTAAGAGCTGGCACAATAATCTCTTGTTCAACCATTTGTTTATTACTTCACCACCTTCCCTCCACACACACATGTCAATGTTTGCAGGCCACTCTTAAGCTCATGAGACATGTAGAAACCGACGAAGACTGCAGAAACTTACTGGATGACCTTGACAAACTTCAGGATTGGGCAAACAAATGGTTGCTAGAATTCAATCTCAACAGGTGTAAGGCAATGACGATCGGAAAGGGAGAAAAGTAAGCAAAAGGTATCAACTGGAGCAAGATTAGTGCCTGAGCGCTGAGGATGGGTTAAGGGAACTAGACCTCTCAGCCCTGGAGAGAGAAGAACGGAGGAGGACAAGTTCACAACATATAAGATGTCGAGGGGAATTGATAATGTGGAGAACACCACCTCCTTAAAGTGAGGGGAAAGTAGGACGAGCGGACATAAGTGGAAACTGGAAGCACAAAATAAGTCGAAGTAACCTGACAATTGTAAACCCAGCCCAAATAATCTTTTGCAAGCTACCCCCCCAAGCCTTGCTGGGGAAGATAGGAAGTACACTCAAGGTTAAGGAGCATACCTAAGGGCTGGGGTAAGTCATCAAGAAAACTTCCTTATGGTCCCCTTTACGTCATCGCTTCTAGCCTAATCTATACTATCCCAGCTTAGACTAAGCTGTCCTAGCCTACTGTACCCTAGCCCAGGTTAGATGTGTGACGTGACCATGACGTGATGGTTGTAGTGGCTGCCCCAGCATTCATCATCAGCCTCTTGTTGCCGTGCCAGTTGTATGTCAAGAACACCACTGGTAATAGAGAAAGGGAGGAGGTAGACCAATGCGTCAGTTGCGTCAGCGGCCTCCAGGACCAAGATGACGGGTGGGGGGGGGGGATAATGCTACACGTTGATGAGTCCACGTGCTACAACCACCCGTTCCCCTCGTCTAGTACCTCGTGCTGCAACCACCCGTTCCCCTCGTCTAGTACCACGTGCTGCAACCACCCGTTCCCCTCGTCTAGTACCTCGTGCTGCAACCACCCGTTCCCCTCGTCTAGTACCACGTGCTGCAACCACCCGTTCCCCTCGTCTAGTACCTCGTGCTGCAACCACCCGTTCCCCTCGTCTAGTACCTCGTGCTACAACCGCCCGTTCCCCTCGTCTAGTACCTCGTGCTGCAACCACCCGTTCCCCTCGTCTAGTACCACGTGCTACAACCACCCGTTCCCCTCGTCTAGTACCTCGTGCTGCAACCACCCGTTCCCCTCGTCTAGTACCTCGTGCTGCAACCACCCGTTCCCCTCGTCTAGTACCTCGTGCTACAACCGCCCGTTCCCCTCGTCTAGTACCTCGTGCTGCAACCACCCGTTCCCCTCGTCTAGTACCTCGTGCTACAACCACCCGTTCCCCTCGTCTAGTACCTCGTGCTGCAACCACCCGTTCCCCTCGTCTAGTACCTCGTGCTGCAACCACCCGTTCCCCTCGTCTAGTACCTCGTGCTGCAACCGCCCGTTCCCCTCGTCTAGTACCTCGTGCTGCAACCGCCCGTTCCCCTCGTCTAGTACCTCGTGCTGCAACCACCCGTTCCCCTCGTCTAGTACCTCCTGCTTTTAACGGAATCGACCAATCCGTTAAGAATACGACGTATCAGTTGAAATTAAAGCACGGTAATATAGACGTTTTCCACGCGTCGGCCTCGATGGGTTAGGTGGGTTGCTTGGGTCCGTACGTTTCTGGTTTGGTAAACCACTTATATTCTCTTTTATGAAGCAGCAGTTGGAGAGAAGGTGCTGCTGGCGGCGGCGCTTCGGCAGCTCTTTAACTCTTTGAGCAATTGCTAAATAATTAGTCTGGGGCCGTAACGGGTTAATTGGCGGCTTACAATATAACACTTAACAAGTCTTCGATTAGATGTATGAGGTTAAAGTTCTACCATTCTTCTCCTTTTCACATCACTGAAACCGGAGGGAAAAGGCTCTGGGGCCAGATTCACGAAGCGGTTACGCAAACACTTACGAACCTGTGCATCTTTTCTCAATCTTTGGCCGCTTTGTTTACAATTATTAAACAGTTAATGAGCTCTGAAGCACCAGGAGGCTGTTTATAACAATAACAACAGTTGATTGGCAAGTTTTCATGCTTGTAAACTGTTTAATAAATGTAACCAGCGCCGTCAAAGATTGAGGAAAGATGCACACGTTCGTAAGTACTTGCGTAACTGCTTCGTGAATCTGGACCCAGAGGCCCGTAAAGACTAAAGTAACAGCATATATCATATCCTTTAGAAAAATATTGCAGGAAGACAATCTTCAATTATATATAGATAGATTAGGAGGAAGAGTAGGGTCGAGAATGGAGTCACCGGTCGGGGAGCCGGTCGGCCGAGCGGACAGCACGCTGGACTTGTGATCCTGTGGTCCCGGGGTCGATTCCGGGCGCCGGCGAGAAACAATGGGCAGAGTTTCTTTCACCCTATGCCCCTGTTACCTAGCAGTAAAATAGGTACCTGGGTGTTAATCAGCTGTCACGGGCTGCTTCCTGGGGGTGGAGGCCTGGTCAAGGACCGGGCCGCGGGGACACTAAAAGCCCCGAAATCATCTCAAGATAACCTCAAGATAACCATGCATCAAGCAAAGGCTGACCTTCTAATGGAGCATTTTGCGGCCAAGATGCACACCCGTGATCCAGTACGATAACTTCTACACCATGAGCCAGGGGTTGGTGTTACATTAAGGCTATTTGCAAAAATCCACTTTTTGTGTAAATTACCTAATACAGGCAAGGCAATCATGCTGTATAATTGTAGCCGCAGACCTGTTGAGTTGTACAGGTATTGAGGATATTGTTTAGGCCTAAGGCCTCCCAAAACGTAGGATTCTCTCGTTATGCTCTGTTTTACTCTTAATATATAAGATATAGTTATACAAATATATTAGACATAGTAAATATATGTAAAGGTATTTATATTTGCTATGAATCCACAAATATTTAATAATGAGATATATAAATTAACATATAAATCTAAATAAAAAAAAGCTAATGGAAGCACAAGAACTTGCACGGGGAGTCTGGGGACGTGGGTTCGATCCCATTGTACGACCTCAATATTTTCTCCAAGATAATTGGAGTTGGGTAATGGCAATTTGTGCTTGCCATGAGGCTCAACCACTTGGGCTGGACGGTAGAGCGTTGGTCTCGCAAAATGCAGGTCAGCGTTCAATATCCGACAGTCCAAGCGATTGGGCACCATTCCTTTCCTCATCCCATCCTAAATCGTTATCCTGGACCCGTTTCCACGGCTATATAGTCGTGATGGCTTGGCGATTTCTCCTGATCGTTTCCTTCCCCTTGTGCTTGCCATCTGGGGAGTATTGAGGGGGGGGGGGTGTTCACCTAGTTGTGCTTGCGGGGGTTGAGCTCTGCTCTTTTGGCCCGTCTCTCAACTGTCAATCAACTGTTACTAACTACTAACTAACTTTTTATTTTTTTCCACACACACACACACACACACACACACACACACACACACACACACACACACACACACACACACACACACACACACACACACACACACACACACCTGTCTCCTGCAGCACATATCAAGCGGATAACATCAGCGGCATATGCCAGGCTGGCCAACATACGAACGGCATTCAGAAACTTGTGTAAAGAATCATTCAGAACTTTGTATACCACATATGTCAGGCCAATCCTGGAGTGTACAGCCCTAGCATGGAGTCCATATCTAGTCAAGGATAAGACTAAACTGGAAAAAGTTCAAAGGTTTGCCACCAGACTAGTACCCGAGCTGAGAGGATGAGCTACGAGGAGAGACTACGGGAATTAAACCTCACTTCGCTGGAATACAGAAGAGTTAGGGGGGACATGATCACCACATTCAAGATTCTGAGGGGAATTGATAGGGTAGATAAAGACGGGCTATTTAACACAAGGGGTAACACGCACAAGGGGACACAGGTGGAAACTGAGCGCCCAAATGAGTCACAGAGATATTAGAAAGAACTTTTTTAGTGTCAGAGTGGTTGACAAATGGAATGCATTAGGAAGTGATGTGGTGGAGGCTGACTCCATACACAGTTTCAAGTGTAGATATGATAGAGCCCAATAGGCTCAGGAACTTGTACACCTGTTGATTGACAGTTGAGAGGCGGGACCAAAGAGCCAGAGCTCAACCCCCGCAAACACAACTAGGTGAGTACACACACACACAGACACACACACACACACACACACACACACACACACACACACACACACACACACACACACACACACACACACACACACACACACACACACACACAGGCAGGTGTAGCTGGTAAGGTGCTCCAGTGGATAAGGGAGTATCTAAGCGATAGGAAGCAGAGAGTTACGGTGAGGGGTGAGACCTCCGATTGGCGTGAAGTCACCAGTGGAGTCCCACAGGGCTCTGTACTCGGTCCTATCTTGTTTCTGATATATGTAAATGATCTCCCGGAGGGTATCGATTCATTTCTCTCAATGTTTGCGGACGATGCTAAAATTATGAGAAGGATTAAAACAGAAGAGGACTGTTTGAGGATTCAAGAAGACCTAGACAAGCTGAAGGAATGGTCGAACAAATGGTTGTTAGAGTTTAACCCAACCAAATGTAATGTAATGAAGATAGGTGTAGGGAGCAGGAGGCCAGATACAAGGTATCATCTGGGAGAGGAAATTCTTCAGGAGTCAGAGAAGGAAAAAGACTTGGGGGTTGATATCACGCCAGACCTGTCTCCTGCAGCACATATCAAGCGGATAACATCAGCGGCATATGCCAGGCTGGCCAACATACGAACGGCATTCAGAAACTTGTGTAAAGAATCATTCAGAACTTTGTATACCACATATGTCAGGCCAATCCTGGAGTATGCAGCCCCAGCATGGAGTCCATATCTAGTCAAGGATAAGACTAAACTGGAAAAGGTTCAAAGGTTTGCCACCAGACTAGTACCCGAGCTGAGAGGTATGAGCTACGAGGAGAGACTACGGGAATTAAACCTCACTTCGCTGGAAGACAGAAGAGTTAGGGGGGACATGATCACCACATTCAAGATTCTGAAGGGGATTGATAGGGTAGATAAAGACAGTCTATTTAACACAAGGGGAACACGCACAAGGGGACACAGGTGGAAACTGAGTGCCCAAATGAGCCACAGAGATATTAGAAAGAACTTTTTTAGTGTCAGAGTGGTTGACAAATGGAATGCATTAGGGGGTGATGTGGTGGAGGCTCACTCCATACACAGTTTCAAGTGTAGATATGACAGAGCCCGATAGGCTCAGGAATCTGTACACCTGTTGATTGACGGTTGAGAGGCGGGACCAAAGAGCCAGAGCTCAACCCCCGCAAACACAACTAGGTGAGTACAACTAGGTGAGTACACACACACACACACACACACACACACACACACACACACACACACACACCTACCCACCCACCCCCCCCCCCCCCCCCCCCCCCCCCAACCCCCCCAACCCACCCACCCACACACCCCAGGAAGCAGCCCGTAGCAACAGGCTAACTACCAGGTACCTATTTACTTCTAGGTAACAGGGGCATCAGGGTGAAAGAAACTCGGCCCCTTTTGTTTCTGCCATCACCGAGAATCTAACCGGATTTCTAGGATTACGAGTCCAGAGTGCTGTCCACTCAGCTATCAGGTGTACTCGCCTATTGGGAAGGAGCAGGTGATTGTAAGTCAGTCACACCTGTGGTGGGCATGGCCGCTGGTGGGTATGTAGCCATGGCCTCCTTATTGTCGCTGATGATACTTCTGCATGACTAATGGACCATGCCAGGCCCAGGCGTCCTGCCGGCGCTCTGGGCGGCACCGTCCCGCCGGCGCTCTGGGCGGCACCGTCCTGCCGGCGCTCTGGGCGGCACCGTCCCGCCGGCGCTCTGGGCGGCACCGTCCTGCCGGCGCTCTGGGCGGCACCGTCCCGCCGGCGCTCTGGGCGGCAGCGTCCTGCCGGCGCTCTGGGCGGCACCGTCCCGCCGGCGCTCTGGGCGGCAGCGTCCCGCCGGCGCTCTGGGCGGCACCGTCCCGCCGGCGCTCTGGGCGGCAGCGTCCTGCCGGCGCTCTGGGCGGCAGCGTCCCGCCGGCGCTCTGGGCGGCACCGTCCCGCCGGCGCTCTGGGCGGCACCGTCCCGCCGGCGCTCTGGGCGGCACCGTCCCGCCGGCGCTCTGGGCGGCAGCGTCCCGCCGGCGCTCTGGGCGGCACCGTCCCGCCGGCGCTCTGGGCGGCACCGTCCCGCCGGCGCTCTGGGCGGCACCGTCCCGCCGGCGCTCTGGGCGGCAGCGTCCCGCCGGCGCTCTGGGCGGCAGCGTCCCGCCGGCGCTCTGGGCGGCACCGTCCTGCCGGCGCTCTGGGCGGCAGCGTCCCGCCGGCGCTCTGGGCGGCAGCGTCCCGCCGGCGCTCTGGGCGGCAGCGTCCTGCCGGCGCTCTGGGCGGCAGCGTCCTGCCGGCGCTCTGGGCGGCAGCGTCCCGCCGGCGCTCTGGGCGGCACCGTCCCGCCGGCGCTCTGGGCGGCAGCGTCCCGCCGGCGCTCTGGGCGGCACCGTCCCGCCGGCGCTCTGGGCGGCACCGTCCCGCCGGCGCTCTGGGTGGCACCGTCCCGCCGGCGCTCTGGGCGGCACCGTCCCGCCGGCGCTCTGGGCGGCAGCGTCCCGCCGGCGCTCTGGGCGGCACCGTCCCGCCGGCGCTCTGGGCGGCACCGTCCCGCCGGCGCTCTGGGCGGCAGCGTCCCGCCGGCGCTCTGGGCGGCAGCGTCCCGCCGGCGCTCTGGGCGGCAGCGTCCTGCCGGCGCTCTGGGCGGCAGCGTCGTGCCGGCGCTCTGGGCGGCAGCGTCTTGCCGGCGCTCTGGGCGGCAGCGTCCTGCCGGCGCTCTGGGCGGCACCGTCCTGCCGGCGCTCTGGGCGGCAGCGTCCCGCCGGCGCTCTGGGCGGCAGCGTCGTGCCGGCGCTCTGGGCGGCAGCGTCCACCCTGAACATGACCACATCATGCACGCACATCCACCCAACACACACTAACGACCATTTGCATAGCGTGTTGAGCGTAACGGCCGTTCTCACGTTTATAGTAAATTTTGCTTATTTAAAGCGCATTATAACTGACAAGGAAGGAGCGAATGGGGTTGTGTTTGGAAGAATTCTGGAAACACATTTTCGCTTATGGGTACAACATTAGAGGAAAAGTTCACAACATCCACCATTAAACACCATAATATTGTATGTATATATTGCTGTCGTAAGCGTGGAGTGCCACGCTTCCACCTGACATGAAGAGTGGCAGGCCTCCCCTGGCACCAAGTTGTGCCGGGTGTGCAATGGTAGGATTGTCTAGTGTGTAAACACCAGGTATGGTTATGGGTTAAATGTTGCCGGTGGAATTTACTTAACCTAAACCGTTGATAGTTTAAGTAATAATTGTAAATAAAAAGCAATAAGATGCTTATCTTAACATACTAAAAGGTTAGGTGAGGTCGGTGTTTTCTATGAAGCTTTTCAAGGTAAACTAAAATATTCACAATCAATTAGTATGTCACATATGCACTTATTAAATAAGCCAATATTGACTGAAAGCAAGTGCGAGAACGGGTTGCCGATGGAGTGTTCTCTCTCTCTCTCCCGGTCGTAAGATAATTCCGTTTGCTATGGAGCCCATGCCCATCCTGCGGGTGGTATTGTGCCCTATACCCTTCCTGTGAGCGGTAGTGGAAAAGGTTATTAAGGTGCGTAATGGGCCCGGAAAGTGAACTCCAAATTCGTTTAACTAAGTATATTATAGACTTTATTGCCCCGGGTTACATGGCTTAGTCATGCAATATGTTGTAATTAATGTTGCATTTCATACGTTGCAAGCTTAACATATGTTTTAAGGGGCTTGTGTGACGGACCTTCTAATTCTATTGCGGATTGCGCTCGGAATGAGAAGGGTAAAAATCAGAGTAATTAAATCGCTTCTGGGAGATAGCGACAGGCACGGACGGCTTCCATAGCGGCGGCATCCACAAGGTCATTAGAGACAACACAAATATATGTTCGTTATCGGTTTTTTGTTGTTGTTGTTTTAGATTCAGCTTCTTGGAACAAAAGTGGCAAGTAGCACGGGCTGTGGTGAGCCCATAGTGGACTTACCTGGCAAAGGAGAGGGGCTGTAACTTGTGTCGGGGGTCAGAAAGCGTATATTTAAGCTTATCGAGGCTAGTTAGGTGAATAAAAGTGTCAGGGGAAAGAAAACGTGCCCAACCGTTCCTTTCCTGCTCGGGGATTGAACCCGGATGCCTCTGTTGTGAACCGAGAACGTAGACTACTGTGCTACAGGACCCAATGGTTGTGCACAGTATATTTAACTATTGATCAATGTTTGTGGACCGTTTCCTTGTGTGTAACAAAGCTGGAGGCACATTGCAAGGGACTCTAAATTCCTGAACATTTTGGGAAGGTAAAGCTTTAAGCTTAAAAGGAAAATCAGATGATTTCCTGCATGACGGAGACCCGCGCAGCGTGGACTCCCGCCTCGCAGACCCGCGCAGCGTGGACTCCCGCCTCGCAGACCCGCGCAGCGTGGACTCCCGCCTCGCAGACCTTGCCTATTTACGGCCACTTGAGTCCTAGGAGTGATGCAGACTTATTGTTCTGTTCTTATTTACTGAAGTATAGATCATATATTGAGCCTAAGTTATTCACGTTCACCAACAACTGCGAGTTACTTAGATAACAATGTTGGGAAGCGGTGGTGTTGGAGGCTGGGAGATATTCATGGAAGTCATAGATATATACGTTTTCTGGTGTCACATCCTCGATTGATTTGGTCATGTCTCGCTTGGCAAGATGTGGGTCGTTGACGTGGTGTTGCTTGCAGCTTTGAGTGTGGACACGCACACTGGCTTCTTCCTAGTGTGTGTGTGTGTGTGCGTGCACGTGCGTATGTTAACTCGCCTAATTGCACTTGCGGGGGCTGAGTTTAGGCTTTCTGGTTCGGTCTCTCAACTGTCAATCAACTGGTGTACAGTTTCCTAAGCCTATTGGGTTCTATCATATCAACATTTGAAACCGTGTATGAAGTCAGCCTCCACCACATCACTGCCTAGTGCATTCCATTTCTTAATTGCCCTGACACTGAAAAAGTTCTTTCTTGTGTCTCTGTGGCTCATTTTGAATAATAAGTTTCCACCTGTGTCCTCCATTCTTTGTGTTCCACCCGTGCTAAATAGTTTGTCTTTGTCCACCCTGTCAATTCCTGTTGAGATTTTTGTGGGTGGTGATCATGTATCTCCTAACTTCTGTTTTCCAGGGGCGTGAGGTTTGATTCCCGTGGCCTTTCCTCGTATCTCTTGGCTCTGTGACTAGTCTGGTGGCATGTCTCTGAATCTTCTCTAACGTTGTCCTGTGTTCATGTTTTGTGTCAAGTGTGTGTGTGTACGCACACTGACTTCTCTCCAGTGTGTGTGTGTGTGTGTGTGTGTATGTATGTGTATGTATGTGTATGTGGGGGGGGGTGCACACTGGCTCCTCCAGTGTGTGATGTGCTTCAGTTTCTGGTACGTGACTCATGTTCTTAACGTAACCCATCTGGGGCCCTGACATTATAATTCTCTGCGTGCCTTTGTCGGAATACTTCCGCCCCTTGTCTCTCCGGAGCGCCGTTGGTCGCTGCTTCCCGCCCGCCGCTCCGTTAACCGCCGCTCCTCTCACAAACTCCACCCAACCGAAATACCAGATAAAATGTTGTTCTATATATGTGTGTGTGTATGGTGCCCCCAAGGTGTACGACGCCATAATGTTCATACCAGTACGAGCTTCACATCCTGTTTGGATGAGTGCTCATGCTCTATCTTGGGCGCCATACTAGGCCTGGATTTATCAAGTATTTAAGTTTTCCCCCCATTGCGAAATCTTTACGGGCTATTCATGCCCGTGCCACATTTTGGGTGGCTTAATCTTTATCAATCATGCGAAATCTGTAGTTACGGGCTCAATATAGCCCGTGCTGCATGGACATTTTGTTCCGAGTAGCTGAATCTAAAACGACAGAAATCTGTACATTACGGGTTGTTCATGCCCGTGCCACCTCTTGGTGGCTTAATCTTCACCAATCAAATCTGTACATCTTTCCTCAATAATGGCGGCTTTGAATTAATCAGTTAACGAGCGTGGGAGCTTCACAGGCAGTGTTTATTGTTATAGACAACCTCATAGCTCTCCGGACCTCGTAAACTGTTAAATAAATGCAGACTAAGCCACCATGAGTGAGGAAAGATGTACAGATTTCATACGTAAACACTCTTGATAAAGCCCGGCCCCATGTGTGGGTAGTCATCCTCATCTAGTGAGCGGTGTATATGTTCTTGTGTAGTGTATTCGTGGAGAATTGAACTGGAAGTCTCACTTGACCGACTTGCTGGCAAAACAATATGTTGTGTTGCAGTCTCGCCAACCTTCACTTTCTACGCTTCTTCTTGTCCACTTCTTGTTCCGGCAACATTTCTCATGCGATTTGGAGGATACTGAACAGTACCCTGAACTGTACTGAGGGTATTTGGAGGGTCCGCGGACCTCTGATGTTCAGTGCTCTCTTCATTGAATTTGTTCTGCATTTCCTTCCGTATCGTTCCCTGCAGTTAGTTATATGTTACCGTTGGAACGGACACCCGGTAACACTGAACACTGAGCCCAGCTTCTGCGTGATAACAAAAACAACATTGTGTCAGTTGCACTGTTAGAACACATACGAAATGGAACCAGCGAGTCTAAATGGATTCAAAGAACAGCCACTCATTAAAATGATGGGACTGCACGATGTATATACAGATGACTGGCAGATAGTACCTTTTGACATCCTGACCCCTGCATACCCCACCAGGAAACTAATCACAAACAACCCTCATGCTCAGCTTGCTGCTAAATTAAGCCCCATAGAACACAACACATTTACAATATACAAACTGAAACAACATAGCACAGACCATATACACTGACGGATCACTCAGTACAGCTACAGGGAGGGCAGGAAGTGCTGTTATTGCTCATCAGCCCGATGGCAGCACAATTCAAAGGAATATAAGAATTAGTAACTGGGCATCCACAATGCAAGCTGAGTTGGTAGCAATACTGGTAGCACTCTACATTATTGACAACACTGAAGTAGACAGCTTAATTATTTCCGACTCCCTTTCCTCACTACGAGCAATAAACAGTTTGCAATCAAGTAATAACGTGCTTGTCTTGGAAGCTAGACGTAGATATATAAGAATACTTAGCAAGAGGGTAAATATAAAAATGTTGTGGATTCCTTCTCACATTGGCCTGCAGGAACATGACAAAGTTGACGCCCTTGCTAAGGCTGCAGTAAATAAAGACAGTATTGAACGGAATCTTGAGTTATCAAATAGGTCCCTTAAAAGTGTCATTAGACGAGAGCTGGATGGATGGATTTGAAGAAAGTAGAACAGTGCAAACTGGAACTAGCAGGTCCATTGTTTATCACAATGAAATGTGTGAAGTAAAACATGTGTATGGGGCAAGTAACAAAGTCAGTAGACTAACAGATGTTGTCACAGCTCGTATAAGACTTGGCTACAAGTATCTCTGGCAGTTCGGCTTGTATAGGGATCTAGATGAAGTAAAGTGTAAAGTGTGTGGACAAAGACAGGGACACACACTCGAACACTATATCTTGGATTGTAGTAAAATTGAGCCATTTAGAGATAAATCTAAGCTCACTCTGTATGATATGGCAACCTATCTTATTACCATGGATAAAATACCTGAAATCCTTGCACTGTATCCATATTTCGCTTCCAGTAGATAAACGACATATGAGATTAAGAAACAAGTAGTGTATTGTGAAGACTAATAATAAACAGAAGCTCCCCTATGACTGTAATATCTCCATTGGTCAAACTATTATGTATTAGCGATAAGACCTACCATTAATGTATAATGACTTACTGTAAATATATAGCTCTTGAAATAGCACTTTCTCTGTA